ACACAGATGAAATGAAGCCAACCGGCGACGCGGACGACGGCCAGATCCAACGAGGTCACAGGCGCCGCGGGCTTTGGGACACTTTGCAATGAGACGAGTTTCAGTGCCTCTGTGAGGCTCTCATGGCAAATCTCAGTGCCTCTGAGAATCTCTCACGGCAATTCCCAGTGCCTCAAAGGAACTCTTACTGTAAACCTCAGTGCATCTGATGATCTCTTACAGCAATTCCCAGTGCCTCAGAGGAACTCTTACTGTTAACTTCAGTGCCTCTGAGAATCTCTCACAGCAATTCTCAGTGCCTCAAAGGAACTCTTACTGTAAACCTCAGTGCCTCTGAAGATCTCTTACAGCAATTCCCAGTGCTCAGTGGAGCTCTGAAGGCCCCTTACGTAACGTGAAGGCCACGATACTGAACAATAGAGCGGTCAGAAGATCTTTCTACATAAACTGAAGGCCAGAACGTAAAGCTCGATGCTGGTGACACCCGCTTAACGACATTTTCGACTGAATAAAAAGTTCTGTTTGGAACTGCTATCGAGGGATCCTTTGATTTTCAAGTTCCGCTGACAACAGAAAATATCGAACATTTTCTGCCGCGATCCAAATATGGACTGGCTTAACGGTAAATATTTACTGGCATATTATGCCGTGGAGTTGGATATACGAGGGTGTCGGAAGAACATATTGTCTCCATCTTCAGGTTTAAACCATAGGCCTATTTATTCAATTCATCCTCTTTGCTCCCTTCTGAATGGGCCCGTGTTTTATCTTCTCTCCTATGCACTATGCCCTATATACGGCCCTTTAAAGGGCCACGTTTACCTTCCTCTTAGTTCCTACTGGTTCACTCAGTCACCATTTCTCCCGGTCATTCTGCTGTAGGAAAACGGCCCTTTAAAGGGCCGATTCTCATTACACTCGTCTTCTACGCACCCTTCCTACTGATGATTCGCTCGGCACCCAGCTTGCGTCCAATTATATAATCTGATCTCCGAAACGTCGGTTCTTTTGTGGGTTACTTGATGACTGTCAGTAGGTACACTATACAGCCACGAACGACAAAATGGCTAATGAACGGGAAAAGATTTGTAAGTCACCGGTCGTGGCCTGATAACAATACTATCCCAGCATTTGCCTGGAGGGACTGAGGTAAGTCACGAAGCAACTCAGGATAATCGGTGTCCCGGCCGAGACTCGAACTAAGTGCCTCGCCAATACAGATCTACAGCGTTACCGCCAATGAAAAGTTCGTAACTATGTACCAGTCTCCGCGGCGTCAGAAAACAGTGGTGTTCATAGTTACCGCTGGTAGTTTCATTTTGGGGCAATAGTGTGCCAGCCGTCCACCTCATGAGCAAGGGCACTGACTCTATTCCATCAGTCGTCAGGTTGACATGGAAACAGCCGCCCACATTTCCATGTGTCGACGAGATATTCAAACGAGGTCAGTAAATCCTTTCGGGTTAAGGTGCCACGACATTCACTCTACGCAGACACGGAAAGCGTTGTTACACAAAATAAACTGAAGTGCTGATGTAATTTCCTCTGCCATGAGAACGTCTAATCGCCATAATTTAATGCACCGAGATCCAGTTTCACGTGCGGGATGTATCCAAAAAATTAAGTGAATTCCGCTTTGGAAACTTCATTAACATACTCGACAACAATTGTGGTATTTTAGCCCTTCCAACACAGGGGTAAGTACACGTACCACCTGCTTCAGCAACAATAAAACTCTGAATTCTAGAGACAGATTGTATTTGTGTGTTCCGTATGGTTCTCACAATAAGCAGCGACCGTTTCACCAAGCAGCATTAACCGGTTGTTCTCTGTAGCGGAGACGTAATGTGTTTCCTGTGAGGTACGGACTGAATTCTTATATATATATAAAGTCTCTGCATTCTGTCCGCACATTAACAGCGTTGTCAGGACTGATCAAGTAGAAACTGTTGCCCAGAGGGAGGGGAACGCCCGCCGTTGGAAGCAGTTACCAAGCAACGGCTAGTGAAAACTGAGAAGACTTCATATGTTCTGCCCACACAGTGTATTTGTGTGTTCCGTATGGTTCTCACAATAAGCAGCGAGCGTTTCCCCAAACAGCATTAACCGGTTGGGCTCTGTAGCGGAGACGTAATGTGTTTCCTGTGAGGTACGGACTGAATTCTTATATATAAGGTCTCTGCATTCTGCCCACTCAGTGTATTTGTGTGTTCCGTATGGTTCACACAATAAACAGCAATTATACTCTATCAAATGTTCCGTCTATAATGGAACACTCAACAGCATTGATTCACACTTTAATATCACACAGTGGTCGTTATGTGTGTAAGATGTTATATCAAACTATTGAAATATATATGCATTATTATAATGCTACATGTTTCGGCCTTATGAGGCCATCTTCAGGCACAACCTATGTGAGGAATCCTAATGCACTGAGCACTAATCTAATGTAATTCCTTTTATTACTTTCGTTTCATTTTTATGTTTTTCCTCTTCATATATTTTTTATAGTGCGGCTATTTCTCTATTTCGCTGATGTGCTCGTGATTGTATGTTTCAAGTGTGCCTTTGCGTTCACCGCAGAAATTTTGATATTCTCTCTAATAGTTTCCAAAGTTCTATTAATATCCACCTCAGTGTCTAAGTTTTCCAAAGCCGCGAACCTATTTGAGATTTCAGATTCTTTACACTGTATCTCGATTTAATTTCTTCAGATTGAACCTCTCCATATGAACTCTGTGTGCTGTTTGTTTACTCACTGCCAGTCTCTCCCTAACTTTAACCATCAACAAACATTGATAAGTATCACAATCTGCTGCTCTGAACGATCGGACATCAATTATACTTGAATGCCGTCTCCCGTCTATCAAAATATGGTCAATTTTGTTTTCCATCAGATGTCCAAGTAAATTAATAAATTTTACGATTTGTGAACATCGTACTTTTGACGATGTGGCAAAGTTTACTAGTCTAACTCCATTTTCATTACTAATTCCATGCAAACTCTCATTCCCAATTGTTGGTTTGAAAATGTCTTCCCTCCGTACTTTAATACTGGAATCTCCTAACAAAATTTGGATGTGGTATTTAGAGAAAATATCGAATACATAAAGTCAATAGAAAGTCCGTCGAGTGTAACAATTTTTTTAGGTCACTTCTTTATCACTTTTGCCTTACATGTTTCGGTTTAATAAAACCATCATCAGAGGCACATATTACAATCATGAAAACACTGTCGTTGTTTAAATGTACACAGTATATATGCTGCGTGGACGCTGCTACAATATGTCGATGTGTAAAAGCACAACACTTGCTAGGATTATTGAATGCACGTTCAAATCTCGCATTCCATCCGAAATTGCCCTCAAGTTAAAAGTTAAAATATTTAAAAATTTAAAACATTTGAAGTAAAAATGTTAGGCTCCTCCTTGTTAATTCATCCCGATGATGGGAGATGTCAGCAGTACACAACACACAACGCATAGGAAACATCTAACCATAAGCCTATACAACCTCAAGCTGACATCTCCCATCTTCGGGATGAATTAACAAGGAGGAGCCTAACATTTTTACTTCAAATGTTTTAAATTTTTAAATATTTTAACTTTTAACTTGAGGGCAATTTCGGATGGAATGCGAGATTTGAACGTGCATTCAATAATCCTAGCAAGTGTTGTGCTTTTACACATCGACATATTGTAGCAGCGTCCACGCAGCATATATACTGTGTACATTTAAACAACGACAGTGTTTTCATGATTGTAATATGTGCCTCTGATGATGGTTTTATTAAACCGAAACATGTAAGGCAAAAGTGATAAAGAAGTGACCTAAAAAAATTGTTACACTCGACGGACTTTCTATTGACTTTGTGACTGATAGTGTAACGGACCAAAATGAAACAATTCAAAATATCGAATACATGTTCTAGTCCTTCGCAGAATCTGCCCTTCATATCATCGGTTTTATCTTCTGTTGTGGCATGAACATTCATAACAATGATATCACACCAGCGACCTTTTAGTATTATATGTATATCCTGTCACTAATGAATTCTACCCTCTTAACTGCTGATACGATTCTCTTATGTACGAAAAAACCTGTACCTAATTCATGATTGTCATTCCCCTTTCCATAGAAAAATGTATAGTCTCCTGCTGGTGCGATGCCACCTTCATCCCACCTGACCTCCTGTACTCCCGCTAAATCTAACTTATATTTTGAGACTTCTTCTGCCTCTGCCCTGAGCGAACCTGCCCTTTACAAACTTCGTACATTCCAAGTGCCAAATCTCATATCCATTTTCTTTAGCTTACGTCGTTTATCCACGGAATCCGTCCACGTCCGAGGCTTCTTGAGATCTTTCGTAACATGATTAATTTTATATGAGGAGTTATAAGCCTCACGCCCATCACACAAGCTGGAGACCCCCCTTGTCGGCTGTCCGCGACTGACCCTGCATACCTGGTGACCGTCACTTACATCCCCAACCTGAGGACGCGCCTTGCCGTGGTGACAGGGACCCACCTAACATGGTGAAAGTCTTTCACCAGTACACATTGAAATACGTTAACAAAAACTCTCTTTAGGCAAAAATGATACAGAGGAGAGATACTGATCACTACTAAGTCGAACCAATCAGTACATGGAACTGAGGTATTCTGGAATTGCACATTGATGTTATAACACACGCCCATTTTCTGTGAGAAAACCTTACAGATGCGTCTGATAATAAGTTCAGCCGTCGATACAGGGCTACATTCTGTGAACTGTAACTGACGAAGGCCAGGATCCCTCGACAATCGGACCTCCAATAAAGTACTGTTTGATGAATGGCAAATATTTGCAGACACGCACTGTGTGACTCAGCTGCACAAAAAATAATTCAACATTTCCGGGTTCAAGGAAAGCCTCTTCTTACACGAAGTTCTCAAATATTTTTAGTAGCAGAAGCTAAAACAGTCCGACAAATATTTACGCAGCGTAGAAATTCTCACCTTTTCTTGGCTTCTCGCTCACAGACTCGCTCTCACGCTCACTACCGGCACCTTCTCCTTCTCGATCCTCGTCCTCTGGCGTTGGTGCGTTGATGGACAACTTGTGGCACACTTCGAACGCCTGGCCCACCGTTCGGACTATCCGCATCGCCTGGCTCTGCAACAGCAAACCGTTTGTCTCTCAGAGCTCCGGGTGGTGCAGGGGTACAAATCTGGCAGGACTGGGGTACAAGTCCCAGTTCACAACCGGGTAGAGTCCCAGGTTTATAACTGAGCACAAGGCCCAGTTCACAACAGGACAGAGGCCGAAATTCATAACTGGGTGTAAGTCCCAGTTCAGAACCACGGAAAAGCCCCCGGGGAATGACCTCTACTTAAATTACGAGCAAATTATCACAACGAGAGCTCGTGAATTTGTTGCCACGCGTACTGTTGTTGCGAATGGCAGTTATGGCGTCTTGAGGCGCCGCAAATGGCTTCTTCCAAATGAAAAGCCCTGCAACTGAGCAGACGGAGCCTGCCCTCGACTGACCAACAGGTAAAACAGCCGGCTCTGCAAGGGTATGGTTCGCGGCGGACACAGCTATAGCTCTTCCTTCACAGCGTCCGGCCCATCCAACCTGTTACTGAGGGTACGGGGGGCTCATTTCCCGGTGGCTAAGCGGATGGGGCGTGAATCTTACCACTAAACCTCCACTCGCCCCCACACGCCCTCGAAGAGTGGTGCCTCATTCACAGTCGAGTGCTCATGTCCTCTGCTACGTGTTCAGGGGGCACAATCGACAGGAGACGGGCAAACTCGACTGAAGTTTGTTCTACAAGATTATCCTCAGTTACTTCAGAACGGAAGCTGCCTCGAAATAGGCCATGGCCACTTCATTCCAATCCACTATTCGCCACTTGTCTTATCAATAACGTCACATCGGCACACAAAGCTAGAATGTAGCACGGAGACAGGTTTACCTCCAAGGCCACCCCTCCTCTCGTAGAAGATCAGGGCCCCACTTCTAAACACGTACATATCTAGGAGAGAACAAAAATCCTGATCATGAATACCGACAGGACTCGAAACCAGGAATTATTTTGCTGGCGAGGGCCAACAGCAATTTAACTGACCGACCTCTCACGTCTAAACACACATTCATTTACATCTAAGGGATCAGTGAACTCACAATCCATCATGTCACTATAGTGACTGCGCTATTACGACTCGCCGAATACTAAAGAATATAATCATGGAAAAAAAAGTCTGAACTAAGACAGTTGGTACACGGGACCAGACTCGAACTGCGTACCTCCCACGTACAATCGCGACGATTTGCCTTTTGACGCGCTCCAGCCAGTGACTCACAGCTGCCTCTAAATCCGTCTGTTCCACGCCGCCCTACTCCACTTGTGTATTCAAACATAATAAACACGGCCGTGCCACGCAGAGTGTTTTTTTTCTTCCTCTTTCATCGGCGCCAGAGTCGGCCTCCTCTAATCATAGATTGATGATCTCTCTGCATTCTACACAGATTTAAATGTATCCTTCCGCCATCAGAAGACAGTGCGGCACAAGTCTCTGCTTCGACTCCCGGCTGTTCTCTAGTTGTTAGAACCCAGGGTTCGTCACTTAGGATTGTTTACAACTACTCATTAATCAGCTTAAAGAGAAGAAAAATTATCCAGAAAGCAAAGGATCAAGGGTCATTCTTGGTAAAACAACTGTCGTAACGAGCACCAGAAACTCCCGCCACTGGCCACGATCCTGAGCCAGTTCCATCCACATTAAGCTTTCAAACCCTTTCCTTGTGTTTCCCATCCCTGCTACACTCCGAAGCCCTAACTAACAAACTAGATGACCTCTGAAAATCTGTGTTCCTCCTTACACAGGTCACGTGGTGAATACACGTGCATGTACCACCTAGCCTAACATTTAGAGAAGGCCCGCACAGTGTATTTGTGTGTTCCGTATGATTCTCACAACAACGGACAGCACAGAAAACATCCCTCCCACCAGTTCTTCTGTTCTTGCGTCACGTAACTACGGCACGGACCGCGCAGAAAATATCGGTTCCCAGTTACTTCATCGTTGCTTTTATGAATCTGCTGCCTAACAACGGGCGCTTGCAGAGCCGTTCCGTAGCAACGGCTGTTAAAGCGGTGTGCAAGTATTGCGGTACAGTTTCTGGGTGCGATTCGAATCCTTGTTCCCAGCCTCCTCATTTCGCTAACCAACCAACTAACTAACTAACTACACGGAACTGAGCCCTTCTTGAGGAGCTACTCGATAATATCCCAAACGTTCATTACTCTATTCACAAGAACCCTCCACTGGTCCCTATCTTGAGCCAGATCAATCCAGTCCATGCCACCCCATCCTAACTATCTAAAATCCATTTCAATATTATTCACCCACCTATGTCTTGGTCTCTCTAGTGGTCTCTTTCCTTCTGGCTTTTCCACCAATATCCTATATGCATTCCTCTTCTGCCCCATTCATGCTACATGCCCTGCCCACCTCATCCTCCTTGACTTGATCATTCTAATTATACTTGGAGAAGAGTACAAGTTATGAAGCTCCTCATTATGCAGTTTTCTCCAACCTCCTGTCACTTCATCTCTCTTCGGTCCAAATATTCTCCTCAACACCCACAGTCTGTGTTCCTCCCTTAATGTCAGAGACCAAATTTCACACCCATACAGAACAACAGGCAAAATTATAGATTTTAATTTGTCGATCTGAGTGTTGCTGCTTCCTTAAACTTTTAGCTACTTATAAAGTGTGAAACTGACAAGCCCGGGCGAGGAACGGCTATTTGCGCCTGCTAATTTATTATTCACACTACAGTAAGCCTACTTATAGAAACATCGGAAGAAAGGCAAAAGGCATGCGCTTTTCCGAGAACTTCTTCCAATTTCTTAGTTTCCTGGGTGTGGTTTCAACATCCCTTCATAGCCGCAAATACACGGAGGGGTTGAGTCAACTCCAGCCGCTGCCCTGTGTATATTTGCGAACAGGATCACAATGGTCCCATAAAACTGAGATTTAATCAAACATCATCACGGCCCGAGATCTGTTAGACCCCCGCTTCACGATGCGTACTTTTCTGACTGCGCAAACGCAACGCTGTACAAGCAAACTTGTGTCTGTCTTTAATTAATTAAGCATTACGCCATAAAGATGTATGGGGGAGTTGCTGTATAGATCCATGCATTCTTTAACCCGGCACTACATGGAGGTAAGTGGTCAGTTTCATGCCCCGGCCACTTTATTCCTGAGGAAAGAGCCCCCGTTATCCATTGGATAGGAGGCTCGGTGGGCCCCTGAGCCGGTCTGGACGCTGTGTAGATGAGAAAAATCTTGCCCTTACAGAGTATGAACTCCGACGCATGGTCCGTGGAACCAGTAGCCAGTCGCTATACCGACTGAGCTATCCCGGTTCTAGTTGTTGCATTTATACTTAACGATTCACGTGCTTTACAGGAGTTCTGACTCGATGTTTCTGCTCACGAGACGACAGCGCCCCAGTGGCCTAGCAACGAGTTCTGGAGCGCCTCAATGCATGAACAGAACCACAGTTCACAGCCTGGGTCTCCGAATGTTCAGATTATCTTTGGGGTCACATTAGTTTTCAGGAGGGGGCCTCCTATCGGTTATGCACCTTCTTGTGAGACAGTGAGCTCACAGATTGTGGTGAAGTTGTCAGCCTTACGCGCCGGCCGCCCTTTACCCCCCAAGAATATTCATGGTACTCATTTCTGTTAGAGGCTGAGTCGACCCCAAGGCCATAGTGCGACTGGAAGGATTAGGTCAACTGAAAAAATCCAATGAGTTCGTCGAGAATCGAACCCACGACCTTAAACAGTGCGGTACGATCGCAAATAAGAGATAAAAAACTAACGGTCAACCCTTGATATGAACAGAGTTCGATGCACTGTTTGGTATGCGAAACGTCTTCGCAAACAGTTCCTAAATCATACAAAGTAAAAACAAGAGACAAAAATAAAACTGCGTGACGTCTATTGCAGGAAAAATGTTATAATTTTTCCCCTTTGCGANAGAAAGGGGTTGGGGGGGGGGGGGAGAACCGCCATTACTCGGCTTCAATCTTGGAACACGAGTGGGCAGCTAGCGGACCACAGTTTGGGAACCACATCGCAGTGACAGGACAGCAGCATACAAACACATGACGTGTTGCCTGCAGCTGTACACCTTGCCTGTGTGACGCAACTTTTTAGGCACCCTGGTGTAACAGGTGGTCTATAACATCAGTTCCGCGGGTTTCCGTCCCCCATTAAAGAAAGAATACAGGCTGAGGGTCGGGCAGGTTCTCGCAGCGGTGGCTGACCCTGAAGATGGAGACGACATGTTCCTCCGAAACATCGGTCTCTCTCCGAACTACACGAAGTTACAACCCAGAAGAGTGTACCCGTCATAGGCCGAGGGTGTTTGAGAAAAGCGTGCTGATCACAGGAGGATGGAGAAAATTACATGAGGAGAAGCTTCGTCTGTAGGATTTGGGGTTCTCACACCGGTGGTTATTAGCTGCCATCTGTGTTCACTTTAGTATCTTGCTCGGAGGCGACGTTCCTCCGAAACGTCCATCGACTTTCAACGGACTACACGGGGTTATATCCCAAAAGATAGTCCTCTTCAGTGGCTTCATAATTTGTACGATTCAACATATATTATTAGAATGTTCAAATCAAGAGTAATGAAATGGACAGGGCATGTAGTATGCATGGGAAAGAAGGGAAACGCATATAAAGTTTTGGTAGGGAAGTCTGAGGAGATGTAGACGTACGTTCGAAGATATTAAAATGAATTTTAAAAAGAAATAGGAAGTAAAGGGCGTTGAGTGGATTCATCTGGCTCAGGATCCGTGGCAGGTTCTTGTGAACACGGCAATGAACTTTTTACTTCCATAAATGTTTGGGAACTTGTTGACTAGCTAAACAACTATTAGCTTCTCAAAACACACTAGGCTGTGTGGAGTATATTAATTGCTGTATCCTATTAGGGCCGTGCACTGCTCAGGCGGCTAAGCGCCGGTTTCCCAGCTGGTTTCGATCCCAGGACAGGTAACTTGGGGGGTCGTCGTGAACAACGTGGCGGGCTTTCTCCGAATACTTCGGCTGCCCCTGCCAATTCTCGTTCCATAAATTGCTCCA